CTCCAAATTGACATGTTCCACCTACGTTCAATCAATCACCAGTAACAATCCAATAACCAAACACCATATTGATGATAGGCGTCCAAAAATGTCAAAGCTGCCCCCATTTGCTGGTCTGTTGTGGTGGTCAGTAAATCATTTGCAGCACCTATCATGAACAAAATATGTAGCAGCCTACTTTAGTGTGACAATTTTAACCATCGAGTCCATGGAACCTGTTGGAAACAAAGACAGAACTTAGTTTTACCGACACAGCAGTTTTCACGAGTCTTCTCATCAACTTAAGCAACCGGTTCATCATTGACAATGCTTGGGCATCCACTCTTCTCTGTCATGAACGTTAGTTTGTTCATCCGTTTTTAAACTGCATGCACCATTTTGGTCAGAACTTCATTCATTACCTTGTTTCCGTAGTTCACAAGTGGACGATAAATTTCTACAGGTTTTAGGCTCGTGGGAAAAACCGTACCTCACAAGTGTGATTTTCAATTGCGCAACCAAATGGCGCCGGCTGGACAGTCACTGAGAAGGCAAAATTGTCTGTGTACAATTGGCGAGATCCCAGCAGCGTCACAAGTTTTCCTTACTTTCTGAATGGACCTGAAAGGCACAGAATACATTCTGGTATCAATCCTGTCATGGACACCAATTTTACCAACATCGACCTCCTCTGTATGAGTGTCGTGCATATCTTCTCTCAAAACTGCTTTTGACAATGTTGCAAGTATATTGTCGTCAAGGAAATGTGTTCATAACTATGCTTCCCACTGTCCAACATTACTTCATAGTTTCCCCGTGTGTCACTCTCCTCTTTTTTTGCCCAGAAATTAACTCAAAAAGATTACAACCTTTTGGCTGTTTTAAATCATCAAAATAAGGATACAACTGCAGTATGGCAAATTAAAACTAAATTGAAAATAATCCTTTTACACGCCTATTTTCATATAATAATATGTAATTGTTGGACTCATTAACTCACTTTGTAAATATTGTATATTCAATTGAAGCACACATTTATTGTCTGGCTTTACTAAAATAGTTACTTTCAGAATTTCTGTAGGTGATTGGTTAATGTCTCAGATAATTTAATAAGACTAATTCATATGATTATCAACAATGAGTCATGTTGATTTCAAGAACTATTCCCTAAAGTACTAGTGAAAATCAGACAAGTTGATAGCTGATATTCTATGATTTTGATGATATAAAGTTTTGTGTTGTCAAATAAAAACTTTTAAAGCTAATAATTTCAATTATTTTAAGTGTCATCCTTTTAATCTCTAAACATTTTGTCTCTAACATTTTTGTCTCTTGTCTACTATTTCTAATCACTAACCCAAACATTTTGAATGTTTTTCTAAATAACAAATTTGACGGAAAATAAAAAAAATTGTTTAAAATTTAGTTTAAAATCCTTATTTATTCCTTTCTACTAGTAAGAATTAAATTTCAACACTTAGTTTAACTTATGTTTAATACCACTACATTTGTATAAAAAAGTCCTTAAAATTTTTTTATTTCACCATGAACTTAAAAATGATCACCCAAATACTTCTCTTTCTCTATTTGCATACTCTAACCCATTGTTTTTTCACCTGTTATGTTATTTTTGTGATGTGATTTGTGACTATAAATTATTGTTTATAAACAACTAGGTGTCTACTTCAGTTTTAAGAGCAAAAGAGGGGCATACTAGTTTTCAAGTTCTCTTTATTTAGATTTAGAAAATTCCATCTGAAATTTGGTGCTGAAGTGTTTTAGTGTTTTGCTTATTCTACTTAATTTGACCTCTAAAATCAATATTAAAACTAACTATATCGGTACGCTATGGACAATTTAAAAACATTATTTTTTTGGAATTTTAAGTATTGGGTTGGGTTAAGCTTTTGTAATTTTTTCATCTGTTTAAAATTATTGATTAAAATAGTTTAGCTTAATCTTTTCCTGGCAATCCCTAGTCCTAGGAAGATGACTCAGCCATTATTAATTCCTTTCTCTGAAATAGTTACTTTTACTATTAAGTTACTTTTAAATACTTTAGAAATAAGTGATATGTTTTAGAATGTACATAGTGTTGTTTCACCACCACCATTGACAGTAATGATGACATTAATCGACACAGAGTATGGTTTTCCTTTTGCCGATTCCAGGAGTGGCCTTCCCTCCGAACGTTGGGTAGTGCTCAAAGATTGTCCAGTCAGTAGCAGGTAATATTACAGACAGTTATTACATCTTTGTTAGTTGTCTCTACGGCTGAAGAGGAAGTAAATGGCAAGGAGCAAATGCAGTGTCTTGGGAGATTTTCAATCCTTAAAAAAAATACAATTTGCCTATTACATCAAAATTTCAAAAATGTTTCTGCTTTCAGATTTTTCTGACTTTTTCCCTCTCTTCTTGCTCTATAAAGGCCTCCACTTTCCAAAAGCTTTTATTTCTTTATCCTGTGATATTTTACAAACTTAACTTTCTACTCTTCATGTTCTTTTTTACATTTCTTGTACTTCTTTGCTTATTTTACCTATGTCTGTATTTTGTTTTCCTCAATATTCTTTCATTATTTCATGTCTAGTCCAAGCTCTTCAGACTATCTATGCTTCTTTTAAAGTAAACGACTTTCTTTTAATTCTGTATTCCTTCCAATATGTATACTTTTTGGCTCTCCTTATAACTTCTTTATTGTTTCTTCCTTCAATCTTAAAAGCTATTATTTTGTAATCTTGTTCCTATGCTCTGTATAGTCCTGATTTTCTCTCTACTTTATTGTATGGCTTACTCAAATACTTGTTCTTACATTGCATATACAGTAAAGACTTGACCGATTTACATCACCAAAACCCAAGTCAAACAGAACCATGTGTAAAATATCTGCTACAACACAGCTATGAGAATAAAATATTGGCACTAAACTAGGGATGGACGGGATTGAATTTTTAGTTCGGGACGGGACGGGACGGGATTTTTATTTCCTTCCCGATTTTCGGGACGGGACGGGACGGGATTTTTTTCTGTGCATAAAAAGAAAGACCTGTTTTGCAGTTACCAAAAAACACGTACGAAATCAATTTTTACCATTTGTGGCACTGATCTATGGAAACCAAAAAATGGGTTTACAGGTACCTATAGTACCGGTAACTTGTGACTCGCGGGTCACGGGGTGATCGTCTGTATGACTCACAGTCACGGCGCGATCGTCGTCATGACTCGCGATCACGGCGCGATCGTCGGTATGACTCGCGGTCACGGCGCGATCGTAGGTAGGACTCCATGGTCACGGCGCGATCGTCGTCATGACTCGCGGTCACGGCGCGATCGTCGGTATGACTCCGCGGTAACGGCGCGAACGTCGGTAGGACTCCGCGGTCACGGCGCGATTATTGATCGTCGGTATGACTCGCGGTCATGGCGCGATCGTTGGTATGACTCGCGGTCACGGCGCAATCGTCGGTAGGACTCCACGGTCACGACGCGATCGTCGGTATGACTCGCGGTCACGGCGCGATCGTCGGTAGGACTCAACGGTCATGGCGCGATCGTCGGTATGACTCCGCGGTAACGGCGCGAACGTCGGTAGGACTCCGCGGTCACGGCGCGATCGTCGATATAACTCCGCGGTCACGGGGTTATCGTCGGTATGACTCGCGGTCACGGCATGATCGTCGGTATGACTCGCAGTCACGGCGCGATCGTCGGAATGACTCGCGGTCACAGCGCGATCGTCGGTATGACTCCGCGCTCACGGCGCGATCGTCGGTATGACTCGTGGTCACAGCGCGATCGTCGGTATGACTTCGCGGTCGCGGCGCGATCGTCGTTATGACTCCGCGGTCAGTCGGTATGACTCGCGGTCACGGCGCAATCGTCGGTAGGACTCCACGGTCACGGCGCGATCGTTGGTATGACTCGCGGTCACGGCGCGATCGTCGGTAGGACTCCACGGTCACGGCGCGATCGTCGGTATGACTCCGCGGTAACGGCGCGAACGTCGGTATGACTCGTGGTCACAGCGCGATCGTCGGTATGACTTCGCGGTCGCGGCGCGATCGTCGTTATGACTCCGCGGTCAGTCGGTATGACTCGCGGTCACGGCGCAATCGTCGGTAGGACTCCACGGTCACGGCGCGATCGTCGGTATGACGCGGTCACGGCGCGATCGTCGGTAGGACTCCACGGTCACGGCGCGATCGTCGGTATGACTCCGCGGTAACGGCGCGAACGTCGGCAGGACTCCGCGGTCACGGCGCGATCGTCGATATAACTCCGCGGTCACGGGGTTATCGTCGGTATGACTCGCGGTCACGGCATGATCGTCGGTATGACTCGCAGTCACGGCGCGATCGTCGGTATGACTCGCGGTCACAGCGCGATCGTCGGTATGACTCCGCGGTCACGGTGCAATTGTCGGTCCAATAATCGCGGCCACGGCGCGATCGTCGTTATGACTCCGCGGTCACGGCGTAATCGTCGAAATGACTTCGTCTCCTGCGTTCGCGGACTTATCGCTCGCAATAACGGCGTTATCGGCACTCGCGAAGCGGAAAAATCGCCGACGATCGGACCAAATCCCGTCCCGAAAAATTCCCGAGTCAAATGTAATCCCGTCCCGATAATCGGGAATATTTTTTTCCCGAAAAATTCCCGAAATTTCGGGACCCGTCCATCCCTACACTAAACGCTGCATTTGCTACTTAATACATTTATAAACTATCATTTCAGGTAAGTATAGTAAAGTTGAAGTAAACCAAAAGTTTCATTATGTGTTTATAAAAAAATTAATTAGTAAAAACGTTTTTCTAAACTTTTTACTCAAAGCTTTGACAAGATTTTGCTTCTAAAAAATAATTTCACTTTAACTTTAGATAAATTCATTTTGTTTGAAGACAATCATTGAATTTGAAGTAAAGTTTGCATTTTTAAATGAATAATTTCAAATTTAGACATAATTTTATATGAATATTAACTTCTTGAGTGTTCCACTAAAGTTGGTCATCTCCCTAATATAGGTGAAGGGTCTCGGCCCTTGTTTAGAAGAGGTGATGTCGCTGCCAGTAAGGACAAGTCCAATACTGAAGAGTACCAAAGGATTGTGGCAATTGACAATTCCCGAGGTTCAGGTAATTTAAAGCAAACATATCCATAAAACATATTTATTTGGAGTAAAAAGGCTAAAAGAAAGTGTAGTTAACTTTTTTTAAATATATAAATCGCTACTTTTTTATTTAGGTTGAAATGTTATTATGGACAAATCTTGGGTTAGGTTAGGTTAGAACCAGGACATAACTTCAATTGCATATTGTTGCATAGGTAAAACTAATCTCTAGGGCCAACTGTTGGCCTGGTACCAGTAAACCCCAGTAAATTGTTGACTTTGTTGGACAGGTCATGACAGGGGCCACTCCCGGGAGAGGCCGCCTCCTAGATACTCCCCTGCCCCAGGCCCAAGTCACTACGAGGACAGTCGTAGGCCGTACTATAATGAGAGAGAACGCGGCCACAGTCCCTACGAAGCCAGGCATCGCTCACCTCACAGAGACGAATATGTGGACAAACACAGAGAACGGTAAGTTAGAGGTCTCTTAACTCGTGTTGGCCTCCACAAGACCGAGCCACTAGCCGGACTACAGTTTGCCCAAACAAACCAACCTATTGAAATGCAGTAGGCTGAATTAATATATAATATGTGTAGTCAATAAATGGTGTTAAAAGTAGTGTTTTAAGCCTCTGGGGTTATTTATCTTCACATGTTTGCAAAACCAAAAGAAAATATATTTATAGGAAAAAGTGGTCAAGTAATTAATTACAAACATTATGAGTTGAGATAACATAAACTAATGCTTAACCAAGATGAAGGTAAAAATGACTAACAATAAATTGGCTCTGAAGAATATTAAACCTTAAAATTGTCTGTAATGTTTTGCTGAACTTTCTTGCTCATTGTTTTTTCTACAAAACGAAACAATTATTGTACTGTACAAACCGCACTGGAAATAATCATCTAACTGAATACTCGGTCTTCCGATTGGAGCCGTGTCAAGTCAGGTTATACACTGTACAAAACCAAACATTTTCCCATGCTAAGCCTACAATCATCTAACTACTGTCGGGGAAATAAATGCACTTGGGTTGTGACACTTATAATTTGGCTTATATTTCTCTTAACCAACAGATTATTAATTTGCAGAAGTTCATTGTGCTCTTATAGTGCCTAATAACATCCAAACACAGAAACCTTGCCCAAAATGGTACCTATGGAAACCTATCTTGACAAATTATTTGCAGTGGCCTATATTACGGACCATGGCCCACTGGGTTGTTAACATATTGAAAATAACACGACATTTTGTCTGTAAAAAAAGGCACAAAGAGTAAATACTATTTAAGCAGCTACTGTCATGACAGAAAGGTCATATTCCTTTTAAACTAGATCACATCATCCTTTATAAGATACGTTGTTTAACAATGCATTTAAACATCAATATTTACGTAATAGCCAATTTATAGTATTTTTTTGCTTTTTGGAAATGCCACATTGCTATGAAATTTGCATTATTTGTTGCCAATGAAGGTGCACAACCATATAAAAGAGGAGGTACCTAACAGTCCAAAAATAAAAGCCAACTTCACTTCAAGTATATTCCACTACACCTAACTTTCCGTAGATGAATTAGCGTAGGCTAGGCCTTGACAGTAACCGTCGATTTCGACGGGTTTCACCTAGTACATTATAATAAGTTAACTATGGTGGTAGGAAAAATCTACTTTGTATTACGAGTACCAAGCCAATTTATTTTGTGTTGATTGAGCTTGTTAAAAAAACAGGTAAATATTTTCCTCCAGTATTTATTTAATGGTTTCTTTAATTTTCCACTTTTAAATAAACCACTGAAAGAAGAAATTGTAGCAGTCATCACCCTTTCCGGGCAGTGTGTTGCGTTAAGCTGGAACATCCGGTGAGTAATGGAATGTACACATAAGCTCCCCCTCTTTCTTGAACTATGGTCGCTATGAGAGATGACTAACCAAGCTAACCAGTTCGTCTTAGATTTTTACACTGGTAACATCTATTCGAAAATGCCTCCTCGCCGGAATTTTTCCGATGGTAAAATACAGATGATAGAATGATTTTCACAGTAGTTTGCCGTGAGTGAATACCAAAGCAATGTCAGTGTGGTGGACAAACACTTGTAAGTAAAAATTTTAAAATGCCTGGAAATGTTAACAATAAACCTACCAAAAAGCCATAAAAATTTCAGAAGGATTGGCTGAGTGGTTTGTTTACAATTAAATTTTAAACTTCAGTGCAGAGTTTCTTAAAAACCGGTACTTTTTAGGATCTTTCAACTATAAAAATTTGTCTGGTAAACGGAATTTTTTTTATTGTTACCACGTAAAATGTATTTAAACAAGCTTATATTTAGTATTTGTTTCAAATAAATCGGCTAATTAATCTCAGAGAAATTTAGGCTCAAACTCGAGTGCACATATTTATTTCCCCGACAGTAGCTTAATTGAGAAGTAATAACATCCGAAAGGGTGTCCACCAACCAGGAAAACCGGGAATTATGCGTGATTTTTTTTAACCGACGATGACGATTCTGTGACCGTGGGAGACGACGATGACGTTCCCGTCACCGCGGGAGACGACGATGACGCATCCGTGACCGCGGGAGACGACGAAGACGTATCCGTGACCGCGGGAGACTACGATGACGTTTATGTGACCGCGGGAGACCACCATGACGTTTCCATGACCGCGGGAGACGACGATGACGTTTCCGTGACCGTGGGAGACGATGATGACGTTTCCGTGACTGCGGGAATCAATGATGATTTCCAAAAATATTGCTTGACAATGATGACCACGGGAAATTATTTGAATTAAGCTACGATCGAGGAAGATTATGATAACTTTATTGTGATCGCTGGAGACGATTATAATGTTTCTGTTACCGCTGAACAATATCTGGAATTTTTCACGACCACGGAAGACAGTGGTGATGTTTCTGTTACTGAGTGAGATATTCAGGATTTTTCAGTTATTGCAGAAAACGATGATGGTGTCTCTACGACTGTGTTAGATGATTACAATATAACCTCGAGTTTGGAAATATTTTGTGTAATATCTTCATCTTCCTTTAACATGGTATGTATTTAATGTGTTTAGAAGGGTTTAAAACCTAAATTGGCTACGAGCAGTTTTTGTTATTTCTGAATTATTATTTCTGTAGGCCACTTGGAAAACAACCCATTACTCCACAATTATAGTATATGAAAGTAAATAAAGCCAGGGGTTGGTGTAGTAATCCTTCAGAAAATTTGGTAAAATTGAAATGATCAGTATTAAGAATCTATTTTTCAAGTTTTTGTACAGAGATTCGATAAATTTTGGTATCGACATATCACTATTTTTAGGAAGTTATTAATAAATTGCAGGTTTAAGGATTAGTTTTTAATTTTTGGATTATTTAATCAGTAATATATAAAAATTGAATACTTTTGTCAGGCAATATTACAGCAATCATATTTTTTTTTTCTTAACTGAGAATGCTCTTTCCGATAACTAAAATAGCGAGCTGTGATAGCGCTAATACAGCAGCATTGCAGGGTTGGTGCAAAACACGTTGGAAATTTTAGTATAAAAAGTACAACCTAAACTACCTGGAATTTGTTTTTCACTCATGAATCTTTTCTGTTTGGCCTGGTGGACACCCTGTCTGAGAAGTGGCCAGATAAACCGAGGCCGGTCTGAGGTTAAACTATTGTATCTTTAAAACTAAAAGTTATGATTAAATTAATTGGCTCAAAACAAAACTACATTTAAATTAAATAAGGATATTTAAAGATTTCAAATTTGGTTTGAAAAGCTGGATTAGATGGTGTGCAGTAGGAACATCAATTGATTCAGATATTTTGTCATTGTGACGTATTACAACAAAAATTGTTCAAGCACGTCCTGTATATAAATACAAGAGCTTATTTAAAGGACTAACCTATTGTGAAGGTAAACGTTTTTTTCCCAACATAGGGTTGATGGTGCAGAAACTACCCTTACTAATTTCTTATTGGCAGACTCATTGTCTAAAATAAAGTACCAGAACCAACTGTGTTTAAAAACAATTGATATCTTATTCTTGATGTTTTATTTACAGGAGAGGTGGTAGTAGAGAAGATGTTAAACGAGCAGATTTTGTTGTAAGGAAAAAAGAAGAACGCAGGTATTCACCTGAAAGAAGACTGAGCTATGAAAGAGATCAGAGAGAAAGGTACCGTACTATAACTATATCATAAGTTGTTAAAAAGTTTTTAACCCTTTCCACTCGGATAAGTTGACCCCTTGTTGTCCCATACGCTTGCATTTATTGCCATGCAAAAAAACATGTTTTAAGTTTTGTGTACATATACTGACTAAAATAAATTATTTGTTGTACTTGAGGGCTTGATTCTTATTCAGCATAAAATTGTACACAAGTAAAACAAAATATCAAAATAAATATACCCATAAAATATTTTTTGTGTGGTCATAATATAAAAAAAGCAAAATAAAATGTACAAAATATTTTTTGGGAGGCTTTTTAAAAAACGTTAACACATTTTCAGGATTTGTAAAACACTTTATCAACATTAGTTATCTAGTTGCCAATTCAAATCAGCCATTACAAGAAGGATTAGGTGTATTTTTAATGAAAAAATGCATTTTCAAACTTAGATTTTTTGGTGATTTTGGTCGTCATGGTTACTATTTACACTTCTCTATTCTTTAATCCACAGCTGACTAAATAAACTTACAATTATTTTTCAAGCTACCAAAGACATGTAAAATGAATAAGGAAATCATTAAGTATGTATTCAACACAAATTCAAAACATGCAAACACTATATAAAAGGGATTTATTAATAAAAAGCCGATGCTGAAAATGTCGCGGCGGCCGCGACATACGAGTGGAACGGTCAGACGTGAATGTCGCGGTAGCGGCGACATACGAGTGGAAAGGGTTAAAGTTCTAGTTAATCTAGAGGTTAAGGATGGTCAAGTCTCGAAATTTCGGAAATTTTCGGGAAATTTTAAATCTCGTTACACGAGACGAGATTTCTTTTAGGCCGAGATTTTTATCGAGACGAGAATAAAAAAAAAAAAATTAAAAACGCCTGCAGAAAGTCAATGCAATACCCGCAATACAGGAGCGTGTTGTAGTTGCGTTTTCCTTTGCGAAGGCGTTCTTATTTAATTAATTCTTTAAATGTCAATATTACTTTAATAACATTTGAGAAGTTTTGTTAAGTGTAAGCAGTGTGAGGAATGTTTTATTATTATAAAAAGTAGGGATGGACGAGATTGGATTTTTAGTTCGAGACGAGATTTTTTATTTCTCATAAAATTTCGAGACGAGATCGAGACGGGATTTCCCTTCTCATAAACAACGGGAAATGCACGTTCAAAATTTTTACCTGATTTTGTAACATTGTTAGATGACTGTTTAAATACAAAAATAATGATAATAGGCAAGAATATTTACAATCTTTTATTAAAAAACATCAGCATAACATTTTTTTAATTAATCACGCCTAACTTATTAAAAATGCCTACGATTAGGAAACATGGTGATATCAGTTAGGATAGAGTTCAACTTATCCTAAAATAAAAGCAATATTAATTTTTTATAAAATAGTTACTTGTTTTGACTTGTTTTATAGTAATAAAACATTCCTCAAACTGCTTACACTTAACAAAACTTCTTAAATGTTATTAAAGTAATATTATTAAAATAATTAAAGTAATATTTACATTAAAAGAATTAATTAAATAAGAACGCCTTCGCAAAGGAAACGCAACTACAACACACTCCTGTATTGCGGGTATTGCATTGACTTCCTGCAGGCGTTTTTAATTTTTTTTTTTTTTTTTATTCTTGTCTTGATAAAAATCTTGGCCAAAAAGAAATCTCGTCTCGTGTAACGAGATTAAAAATTTCCCGAAATTTGGAGACTTGACCATCCCTAATAAAAAGTCAAAACAAGTAACTATTTTATAAAAAATTAATATTGCTTTTATTTTATGATTTATTTTATTTTAGGATAAGTTGAACTCTATCCTAACTGATATCACTATGTTTCCTTATCGTAGGCATTTTTAATAAGTTAGGCGTGATTAATTAAAAAAAATGTTATGCTGATGTTTTTTAATAAAAGATTGTAAATATTCTTGCCTATTATCATTATTTTTGTATTTAAACAGTCATCTAACAATGTTACAAAGTCAGGTAAAAATTTTGAACGTGCATTTCCCGTTGTTTATGAGAAGGGAAATCCCGTCTCGATCTCGTCTCGAAATTTTATGAGAAATAAAAAATCTCGTCTCGTCTCGTCTTGAACTAAAAATCCAATCTCGTCCATCCCTACTAGAGGTGATGTAGAGAACTAAAAATGCCGTATAATTTTGACAAATCAAAGTGGTATTGACAAGCCTTCGTTTTATAAAGGTAAAATAACATGTTGGCTAGTTGACAGGTACAATGAAATTAGAAATAGTATATTTTATTACAAGTACTGAAAGTGGAATTTTCAATTGTACACATTAGGTTCCAATTTCTCGTTATGGTTTGCTGAAATGTGTTTATTTGACCACAGTGATCTAAGAAGTCGTATCAATGAGAAGCGCAGTGATCCTCATCCTCGTGTAGACGAGAGAGAGCGAGAGAGAAGGTACGAGAGTGACAGAGAGAGAGGTGAAAGACATGGGAGACCACATCACTCTTCTCCACCTAGAGAACGTAGAAGACCTGGTAAGGGACTGAATCAGTATTGCCATCTAACAGAAATTTTATCCAGTTTTAATTTTGAAACTAAAACAAATCCTATTGAAAAATGCATTTTTAAACTACTGTACAGATTTATAACAGGATATCGGTAATCCGTCTATTCGTTTAACCGTCACACTTGTGAGGTGTTTATGTCGGGTAGGGCACCTATCGTAAACTTACCTCCGATTTGCTCGGACAGCTCGAGTAGTCCAGGGTCTCGCTGACAATCCTCGTCGCTCGCTTCCCACTTCTGGATCTTCGTAGATGTTAATGTCGCGCCGATCTGCTAGTACACAAGTACACACTGGGTACCTCGGCACGTCGACGCACCGTACACGAGTTGCTATTAAGGAATACACTAACTATAGTTACTCCTATAACTTGGTGTCAGCACAGCGACGCGCTGACAAGGCCAAGTCGAAGTTAACTACTCGGGCTGATAGCTAACTAGGCGACGATTAGAAAATAAAATAAATACCCAGCTCCTAGGCTTAACGAAAGGTCTCACTTCTCAAAATAAAACTAAAAATAAGCTTCTCGGAATTAAAAGAAAACGACGCTAACTCGCGATAAGTAAATAATGAAATAAAATAAAACGTAGAAGGCGCTTATGCCAATTCTCCTTGGCTTTAAGGAAAATAAATAAAAACTCTCGATTAAAATGAAACAAAACACTTTGGATAACTAAAAGTAGGCGTAGGTGACTACGACACTACACTCGCAGCGTCGGTCGTTAAATTACGATTTTCTATAAACTACGATAAGCGGCCTAGAATAGCCTAATAAATATCGTAATTTCCCTCACTAAAGGGGATACGAGTAGAGGTATAACGTATACGCTAGTTATGAACAGTGTACTTACGTATCACGATACTTTCCGATTCGTCTCTATATTTCGCACGCCTTCGCCGGATACTTTATGTTCGCTCGCACAGCCTAAGGAAGGTTGGTGTGCGCGAACCTAACGCTCGCCGCCGACTGTCCTAAGAACTCTCCCCTGTCCGCTGGTCTCGGCTTCTCCCCACCACGTCTACGGCAGCGCTTCCAGGTGACAGCGGCCGAGTCTCGAACTAGGAGACATGACCAGCTGCAGTGGACATGTGTGACATTGTTGTCAAGCGCGCTCAAGCCTTCGCGGCCTTTAAATAATTAAAACGAACCCCCCAATAAAATGTGACCATTACACCCCCTTTTCACTTTCGCGAGAAAAAAAAACGAACAAAAAAAAAATACCTCCTGCCTGCAGGTATCAACTCAAACATAATCCCACGAGGCGACAACCTTCGCACCCCGCACGGCGCTCGACCTTCGCTTGGTCGAGTAACCTAACTCGTCCGACTCGTGGGCGGGGAGAACACTCTCCTCCTGCCTCCTTAACGAAACGAAAACACTCTCGTAAAACAAAATAAAAATTTAACCAAAATAGCTTCTCGCTTAGTAAGACACATATCTTTAATTCCGCCGATATTCGTCCTTCAGGAACTTTCGCCGGTAGGTGGTCCCATCTTCTCGTTGGAAGCGCACCCGGTACGTCTTGCGGACTCGTTTCCGCCCTCGGTTTCTCCGTGGGTTCCGGGACCTCTGATGAGATTCATGCGAATCAGTAATTTTCATGGGCCCTTGGGCAGCCGTCGCTGGTCTCTTTACCGCCGATACGCGTTCCTCACTATAAGGTCGGGGTTGGCCCCGTGCAACCGGGTCAAAGTCCTCGAATTGGTCGGGACTAGAAATATCCGACAGTATCGGTGAACTAGCTGGAATCGTGTCTACCGGGATTGTGACTTTAAATCCTCCCTCACGATTCACGATTTTACCACGGGGCGGAGAAGCCACCACTTCACTAGAAGACCTAGCGCCCTCGACTGGTTTGCACATTTCCTCTATCTCGTCCATAAGATCATCGGCTGTAAGTGACAGAGCGGGTGACTCACCACCCACCGCTTCCGGTGACTTCACTTCTTCCGTCTCTTGCGTCACTACTGCCTCCTCTCGACTGAAGATCGGGGCATATCGCGGTGATCCATACGATCTGAAGCTGACCGGGTCTACCGCTACGTCCACCACCTCCGATGACGAGTCGGGCGCAGTCACTGTCAACCGGGATAAGTGAGATGGTTGGACACGCCCTCCGTACCGAAGATCTTGTTCCCTAGGGACGTTTACTTCCAACAGGTCGAACACTTCGTCCTCCAATCGTCCCCGTCGTAAGGCTGTCGCAACGTCACGACGCCACCGCTTTTCATCGACTTGGAGTTTCCCGAACGGCGTCGAAAGCGAGATACAAGAAACACAGGCGCACACAAATATACCCGTTGACTCCGACTTCTCAGGTCGGGGATAATCACTCGGCGTATCTAGAAATCTCCAGCTTCTCTCCTCTAAACAGTCTCCCTGTTCTTCAGCTACCTTCGCTAGGAAAGAGAAAACGATTCCCATCTCTCGACGTCGACTGACTAGTGACGGGTCATATGCACCGATCGTCGCCGAACCAGGCCTGCAGACCACAATGGCCCAGAGCCCCTTACCATCTTCACCACTTAACAACACAGGAAATAACAGCAGCGAGTGCGTTAATACGTCCATTCCCGTCGTCAACGAACGAGTACGCTCAAATCCACCATCCGCCCATTCTTGAAAAAAATTAACTGGGAACGCAAACACACTGGGTAGACCAATGTAAAATCGGCTCCGCCTCTCAATCAATCGTAAAAATGTATTCATTACGTGAGGGTTCAACGAGCACCCAGGATGCAAACAGTCCATTTTAGACGGGCAAAGCGTAATAAGAGGTCTTATGCATGCCATCGTGCGCAATAACTACTAATACACTTTAGAAAAAGCTGTCTCATGCACAATACACTTCACCAAGCACTACCACAAGCATCTAAGATAAGAAATTTGAAGCACAAGCAGGGTGCGAAAGCATGCAGAGCGTGCACACGAAGCAAACCTGCGAAAGAGAGTTTATTAATAAATATAAACTAATAAAATACGACAGGGAATCCTACTAAAGTATTATAATGCACTAGTCACAACCGCAACCACAAGCTAAGTATTACACAGAAAGGTAAGTTTGGTGAACTAAATGGAACTACTATGAGTGGAAATGCACCTCACTAAGCGATAAACAATAAAACCGGATTAGACCTCTGACCTACTTATCATCCGAATGGAAAGGTTTAAGGTCCTTTACATGGGCCACGGTGGTTTTACCCGTTGCCTCGTCCTTTATCACGTACAAATTATACCCTCGCCTTTTGCTCACTACAAAAGGGCCATCGAATTTTGGCGCGAGTTTGCTCGCGATCGCGTCGACAGCTGACGACAGTACATGGGTCCGCTTTAAAACCTGTTGACCTATTTCGTACCGAACGTCACGCCTTCGTAGATTATAAGATCTAGCCTGTTGATCAAACGCAGCTCTAAGATTCTTCTGAGTGGTGTCATACAGCCTCCGGAAACGGTCCATACGTTCCATATGTATGTCAGCCGGCGTCGGCTGTTCACCTCTCCGGCTCGCGACGAACAGCGGGCCTCGAAGTGCCGCAGGGAGCCTAAGTTCACGCCCGTAACACAACATCGCGGGGGTACACTTTGTCGACTCGTGGCACGCTGTGTTTACGGCGAACGCGATCTCCTTCAGATTCGCGTCCCACGTTTGGTGATCGCCTTTCACTGACTGAGCGATAAGAGTCTTAAGCACGCGGTTACGTCGTTCGATGGGATTTGATTGCGGGCTATAGGGCGCAGTCGTCTGAAACTCGATGTCCCATTCCTTCGCCATATCTTTAATTATCCTCGAGGTAAACTGAGTACCGTTGTCCGTGATGAGTACATCTGGTGCACCAAAACGATACAAGACGAGTTCCTTGAACTTAAGCACCACCTGAGACGCAGTCGCGTCCTTCAAAGGGGCTAGTTCAGTCCACTTACTGTATTGGTCCTGAAATGCGACGACAAAGCGATTTCCTTTCTTCGAACGCGGGAGGGGACCTAATAGATCCGCGGAGACAGTATGCCACGGCCCACCAGGTGGGCGAAAATGCATTTGGCCGGCGGGTTTCGTCTGTTCAACCTTGTAACGTTGACATACGGGACAGTTCCTTACATACTTACGCACGTCACGTCTCCAACCGGGCCAGTAGTACTGTTCGCTTACTTTTCTAGCGGTCTTCTTAACACCGAAATGTCCAGCTGCAGGGGAGTCGTGCACCTCTCTCATAACCACCGCCCGTTCGTCCTTAGGAACACACATTTTCCATGTCTGTTCCCGGACATCACCTTCCGTAGTTTGCCGACCAATCGAGCGATATAATTTGCCTTCCCGAATGACATATTTGTCGTTCATCCCGGGATTGACGCTCATTTTATCCCAGAGTTTCTCGTACCACTTGTCCGACTGATTACTCGGCCTTTCGGGACCGTCTCCAGCGTCGGGACCTCCATCCAATTGAAGTGGACAGACCGCTGTCTCAATAGACGTCTCCTCGGCTACACCTACGGGGTGCCGCGATAACGCATCCGCCACCCGGTTGGCGATGCCTTTCCTGTAATGCACCTCGAAATCGTGCTGCTGGAGTTCTAACACCCAGCGTGCTAACCGGCCTGTCGGCTCCTTAAGCCGTAGCAACCATTTCAACGCTATATGGTCTGTGACGGCGATGAAGTGGTACCCCTCAATATAGGGTCTGAACTTCCTCACGGCCCACACCAACGCCAAACACTCCTTCTCTGTCACGGTAAATTTACGTTCTGAGTCAGAGAGAAGTCTACTCGCATAGCCGATAACGTTCTCCTTTCCGTCCTTCTTCTGTGTGAGCGCGGCACCGAGCCCGTCGTCCGACGCATCAACTTGCAGCACGAACGGCTTACCGAAATCGGGACAAGCTAATATCGGTGTCGTGGTCAACTTCCGTTTCAGCCCGAGGAACGCCTCCTCTTGGCTTTCAGTCCAGCTCCATTTCGTCGATTTCTTTAGGAGACACGTCAGTGGAGTAGTAAGTCGCGCGAACTGGTCTATAAAGCGTCGATACCATGACGCGAGTCCTAGGAAGCTTCTAAGGCTCTTTACGTTAGTTGGACGCGGAAATTCGGCGATTGCTTTAACCTTTTCCGGGTCTGTACCAATACCGTTCGCATTAACGACGTGGCCGAGATACTTCAGTTCGGTCCGACAGAACTGGCACTTCTCAACATTGAGCTTTAGCCCCGCCTTTCTGAGTCTACTTAGCACTTCGCACAACAAATCGAGATGTTCCTCGAAGGTTTCAGAGATCATAACGAGGTCGTCCAGGTACGCGAACGCCCTAGGCTCCAATTCCGGACCGACTACCTTATCCAGCAACCTTTGAAAGGTCGCGCCAGCCGAATGAAGACCGAATGGCATCGATGTGAACTGATATAGCCCACGCCCAGGAACCGTAAAGGCAGTGAGAGGCCGGCTCGCCGCCGCCAACGGCACTTGCCAATATCCATTAGCCAAGTCGAGTGTGGAAATAAATTGTGCCTTTCGCAACTTTTCAAGTATGGCAGATATTCTAGGGAGGGGATAAGCATCCTTCTCTGAACAATCATTCAGACGTCGAAAGTCTATACAGAACCGATATTTTCCACTAGGTTTCTTAATAAGCACTACAGGGGAACTCCATCCACTAGTAGATGCTTCGATTACCCCGTCACTTAGCATACGATCCACTTCAGCGTTTATCACTTCCTGCATAGCGGGATTTCGCGGGTAATACCGCTGCTTGATTGGAGTAACTCCTTTCTTTAAACGGATTTCGTGTTGGATCAGTTCCGTGCGGCCAGAAACGCTTTCAAATAAAGGCAATTCGGCCTTTAGAAATTCGCCCAATCGTTTCTTTTGGCCCTCAGTCAAATCCGATATTGCGCTTAATTCGACAATCTCGCCGGCGACGTTCGTCCTACTAGTATCTAACGCGACGTTATACGTCACCAAGTCCAGTCGTTCGAGAGTGTCGATACCGAGAACCACGTCACTAGTGAGAGTGGGGAGATACAATGTATAGAACTCCTCGTCGCGACCTTGAATCGAACCCTTAAAACGATAGGATTGGTCCGATTTCGAACAGCTACCGTTCGCGAGTCTCACTACCGTGGGAGTCGAAACAGACATAATTCCAGACCGTTCCAAGTGACGTGCAACCGCCGTGCCGATCAACGTGACTACGGCACCTGTATCTATTAGTGCGGCGAACTCTCGCCCAGCTATCGTCACTGATACGTGCGGTCGTCTGTCGTTGGTCTGAATCTGAGCGTTCTCGGTTTCCGGGAATTTCTTAATTTTCTCTAACCAAGCGCACCAGTCCGGGGAGGTCTTCGTAGTAGGCACTACTGAGGATTCAGGCGACCTCCTTCTTCCTGAACCCGTCGATCGTTTCCCTGGCACCGACAGTCGTGGGTGCGGATGCCCACCTTTTTACAATAGAAACACTTAAGTGTTCTCGGCATACGGCAGTCACGAAACATGTGGCCTTTCTTGTCACAGTTCCAACATGTGATAGTAGACTTGTCACGCACATTATCGGGCAATCGCGAAACTGTATTGTTCTCTCGGGGTGAACCTTCGCGCTCACGCTCCGAGTGACGTCGTGGGCTCGTAGATGACGAGGTCCTCGTAAAATTACCCGTCCGGGGGTTCGGAGAGTTCTCTCGTGACCTACGTGGTCTCGCCTCGGACCGGAAGCCTACGCGCTTCTCGGTTAATCGTCCCGTCACGCCGTTTGATGACTGACAGTCGCCAATCGTCGAAACTCCGAAATTATCTCCCGATTTATTATCGCGTCCTCGTCTCGGGTGATAAGCCGTTTCGGGGACCAACGCTGCTGACGGAGGGGGAGGGGGACGGAAAAGAGATTTTTCCCTAAAATAGCTCTCAACGTGTTCCGCTTGTCTGAGCATTTCGTCGACCGAGAAAAAATCGTGTCTCCTCATCGTCAACTTATATTCGGGTCTCATATTCGTATACAAAATATTCAATTGTTCGTGGAGACTGAGGGTTCCCTTGCGTCGCATGAGAGTAGTTAAAGCCACAACAAAGTTTCTAAAAGCTTCGTTGTCACCTTGAGTCCGACGCCGAATTTCTTCGTCTAGATTTCGCTGGTATCCCGGTGGTAGGAATTGTAGTTCGAAACTCGATCTAAATGACTCATAATTATGCCAGGAGTCTTTATAGTTTCGATACCACAACAGTGCATTACTATGTAGTAGCTCGGGGAGTGCTCGTATAATATCGTTCTTATTTATTTCGTAGGCCTCCATAAGCTCTTCCAGGCGTTCCAAGAAAGAAACGGGGTCCTTTGAGCCGTCAAAACGAACGTTCCACTTTCGAACTAAATTACACAACGCCGAGACATCAACACCAACCTTACGAATTACGTTCGAATTTTCGTGACACGAAGGCAAACCACTACTGAATCCGTGATTCACGCTTGCCTGTGTAGCAATACCTAGTTGTTCGCTCGTGAACCCACCGTACGGTCGCTGACCGGTACCGGGCACCGTAGTTCGATGAATCGAATCTGTAGAGTGGGAGGTGTCGAAAGCATAGTTAACACTTGGTCTGGTTAGTGTACTATACACTAACCCCTCGGAATTTGTAAAACGATCTGATTGTGTCATATTGACTGGATAATTACTAGCCTGATTGTTATCAGCGCGCATTGTTAGGCTTGATAACGAACGACAAACGTCCTCGAAGTTGGTTCCTGGAGGCAAACCAACTATCTCCCGTACTCTGTCAAGTTCCGCACTTCGTATGTCACTGGCACCTGGTCGCGAGTCGACATATCCCGTGTCGTACCGGTGTGGAAGTGCAGTCGCACCGTCCACGCTATCATTTACGTCCTTACCGTACACTGCTCGGGGAATGCCATGTTTCCAAAATTTACAAAACGACTTGCGAAGTTCGTCGACTGTCCCCATATTAGGCAAACCGTATCGACTCATTTCGTAACGAAGTTCATCCTTGGTTAACGTGTGAATCCACCCAATTCGCGGGTCATCCTCTGAGGGACTCTTAGACGTCAACGTACGATCAGTCGTAGTAAGTAAATTTAAAGTCGTTGGTACCATTAACTGTGACGTAGTTGTACCTACTTGAGGCTGAGTAGCCTCTGCGGTCGTAGTAGGAAAACTTAAAGTCGATGGCACAGTTGGTTGTGAAATAGTTTGTGCTACTTGAGCTGGTAAAGACCCTGCAGTCGTAGTCGTAGTTGTCGTTGTCGATTCAGTCACCGCTCTGACCGTTTTAGGCGTAGTTTTCGCGCTAACACTCGATCCTACCATTTTCGCTTTTTCTTATATTCCAAAGAAAAAACCACTACGATATCGATTTTACCGTTCGGGCGCCAATACGTGAAGCACGTATGAATATTACGATAATAACGAAACTTTCAATGTCCCTGTTCGGAGGCGCCACTTTGTGAGGTGTTTATGTCGGGTAGGGCACCTATCGTAAACTTACCTCCGATTTGCTCGGACAGCTCGAGTAGTCCAGGGTCTCGCTGACAATCCTCGTCGCTCGCTTCCCACTTCTGGATCTTCGTAGATGTTAATGTCGCGCCGATCTGCTAGTACACAAGTACACACTGGGTACCTCGGCACGTCGACGCACCGTACACGAGTTGCTATTAAGGAATACACTAACTATAGTTACTCCTATAACTTGGTGTCAGCACAGCGACGCGCTGACAAGGCCAAGTCGAAGTTAACTACTCGGGCTGATAGCTAACTAGGCGACGATTAGAAAATAAAATAAATACCCAGCTCCTAGGCTTAACGAAAGGTCTCACTTCTCAAAATAAAACTAAAAATAAGCTTCTCGGAATTAAAAGAAAACGACGCTAACTCGCGATAAGTAAATAATGAAATAAAATAAAACGTAGAAGGCGCTTATGCCAATTCTCCTTGGCTTTAAGGAAAATAAATAAAAACTCTCGATTAAAATGAAACAAAACACTTTGGATAACTAAAAGTAGGCGTAGGTGACTACGACACTACACTCGCAGCGTCGGTCGTTAAATTACGATTTTCTATAAACTACGATAAGCGGCCTAGAATAGCCTAATAAATATCGTAATTTCCCTCACTAAAGGGGATACGAGTAGAGGTATAACGTATACGCTAGTTATGAACAGTGTACTTACGTATCACGATACTTTCCGATTCGTCTCTATATTTCGCACGCCTTCGCCGGATACTTTATGTTCGCTCGCACAGCCTAAGGAAGGTTGGTGTGCGCGAACCTAACGCTCGCCGCCGACTGTCCTAAGAACTCTCCCCTGTCCGCTGGTCTCGGCTTCTCCCCACCACGTCTACGGCAGCGCTTCCAGGTGACAGCGGCCGAGTCTCGAACTAGGAGACATGACCAGCTGCAGTGGACATGTGTGACATTGTTGTCAAGCGCGCTCAAGCCTTCGCGGCCTTTAAATAATTAAAACGAACCCCCCAATAAAATGTGACCATTAATGGTTAATAGAGGTAATACTATACTATGTTGTCTTTATATCTGAACTAATCTCAATCATAGGATAAGATCTATGTAGTCCTCTGCTGACTAACTTTTTTTCTAATTAATTTAATTAAATGAATGTTTTTTTTTCAAAATATATAAAAACCTCTAATCTTCTAATCCACAAACGTATAGTGTAGAGTTTGATTGATATTGTGATCAACAGCATCGTCAGAAAGACACGAGGGGTCTCGGGATCGAAGAGAGGCCTGGGAGAGGGACAGGGAAAGAGACAGAGAGGGGAGGGAGAGAGAAGGCAGACGTCGTCACAGTCGTGAACGTGAACCTCGGGAACACTCGGACAACCACTACGAAGACTCCCGTCGTCCACCTAAGGGAGAGTACGAGCCTAAGAAGTTTTATAAGACTGTAAGTGTATAAAATATGTAAATAAATTTGTAAAAAAAGTGGGATGATTAAGATGTAAAAAAAAAACATGCACTTTAAATCCGAAGGTATAACTTTGAGGTTAAGAATCTGACATGGGCATTTGTGTCTAACTTTTAAGGATTTTATAAAATAGGTTTATCCAAATGGGAAAACTTGTACCTTATTTGGTTCTATGTCAGTGACAGTGAAAAATTCTCATATTTAATGTATAAAATAAGGATTTTAAATTTGTAAGTTAAAAGGATTGTTGAATTACATGTAGCCCATAGAACACACGGACAGAAGACACATAAAACACACGATATTTCTTACTTAAGCTGACTTTTTCGTGTGTAGACAGAGAGAGTTCACACAAAATGGAATAGAAAGGATTTTGTGAAATCTTTTTTAAACTTGAAAAAGTCTACCAGGAGACTAAATATTGTTTGTTTGATATGTGTCTTCTGTTTGTTAAGATCAAAATCCTGGCCTAGCCTTGAATTAAACTAACCTTAAAGTAAGTTTTTAGGGTTTCATGTTTCTGGTTGGATGTAAGCCTGGTTTTTTTCTAACAATACACTTATTTACCCCAATATCACAATGATTGCAGTATGAACCAAAGGAGTTTATTCCTCCTCCGGTAAGAGGAAGAGGCATGCCCATGCGTCGAGGGGTTCCTCCAATCATGCGAGGTCGAGGAGGAATCGTTCGAGGCATGAGTCGAGGGTTCCGAGGTGCAGTGATGGTTCCTCGAGGACTCCCGCGCGGACCGTTCATCCCGCGGGGATTTCCTCCACGTAAGTCAGCATACTAATACACCGACTGAGCAATCGCCTCGCAACAACAACGCTCTTCAACATCTGTTATGTTTTATGGACCTTGGTGATTTTTTAGTTTTAAGCCACATTATTATTATTATTATGGTTATAATGACGGATTTTCGATCTTCTTCTTTATTGTATTTTAATTTATTAGTTTTAAAGTCAGTTATTTTCAATACTGCCTTGTGTTCTGTTATTTTCTGTAGGGGAATGGGGGGGAATTTTACAAACTGAAATTCTGTTTGTATTCAATGAGGTTTAAACTTTATGACATGTTATGCACGTTTACCAAATACATAATCTTAGATTGTCTTGTGTTGGAATTTCTGTAAATTAAGTCTACTCATCAATATTTTAAAGTTTTTTTCTTAGTTACTGACTAAGGTAAAAAAAATGCATGTTAAGTGTCAACGTTTGTTTTGATACAATAAATATAATTTCTCTTAGCCTTATAATTTTTAAGGATTTAAGTATTAATTTATTATTATTTTATCTACTCTGGTATTTACGCATGGATTTGAAATTGTGTGTCATTACTACAAAAGTTTTATGGTTTATCAGTGAAAAAGGCTTAAACCCATAGTGGAACTTGGGATTCCAGATGTAGTAAGAAGTTTTACTAAATGGCAAAGAGGCTGCTGCCATTTATTTTACTTGTTGCCAAAACAATCAAGGCTAATAATGTTAGAAATGATCCCAACTAAACTATGAATAATCAAAATCGGCTTCCTCTTGTGGTTTCGTCTTATTCCATCTCGGAATCCTGGTTTACACCATAAATGACAGGTGGGTATTTTATAGTTGATTCCTTTTAACTGTCCTTTTTTAAGATTCATAAATTGATTGGATAAAGCTAAATTCTTTTTTAACACTAATACCAAAACACTACCCAGGCTGACGCTAACCGAAAACCTCGGTCTGTGAGACCCCATTGGAAAATAACGAACCCCGCACACAAACCAAAACCCTTGGCCTATGAGACCCAGCTTTAATATACACTAACGCTGGGCTTCTGAGATGGGCATGTTATGAACAGACAACCTGTCAAGGTCACAACACCCACGCAAAATGAACGAACAGTATTCAACAGGTAGGGGAGGAAAAGGGGGGGAAGGTATTGGGGAATGGAATCCCCCAAGTAAACAGTGTTGCCAACATGCGTTTGTGAAAATTCCCGTGGGCCTGTCAGACTGGTGTTTTGGTAAGTGTTAAAAGTCTCTATGTTCCACTTTTTCAGAACAAAAAGACTAAACGATCTTGTTTCAGGTTATAAAGACCTGATAATTTGATTTTTAAATAATGGCCACTTACGTACCTAAATTGCTGGTATGAATATAATCATTCTGATCACCATTTAAATTAATCGTAGCTTAAAGGTAATCTATTGTACCTAAATGAGTTGTATGCCCAAGTTGCTAGTACCCATGTGGACTTTGGTACCCATGATCAAGTTCAGTTTTTGGTCATTAACATAACTTTTACTTTTTTGGGCCAGTATATTAATTGTTACTTGCTCTTATGTTAGGTAAATAAGTTATATTTTCTTCTTTACAGAATCCCCCTAGAGTTACTCATTTGAACCGTTCTCTTCTTCCCTCTGTTTGGATCACTAGTATTTTTGTTTTAATTTAAGAAATTTTAATGTTCATTTTAATTTTTATTCAGGATTTTTTGAGAGGATAGCAGGCTTACCTGAATGGGAAAGAGTCCAAACTGGCACAGGAAACACAAAACAAAACTTTACACTATATACACAAAACATTAGAATATTTCACTGTCACTGACAGCATTTTCAACTAAGGAAGAGGAAGAGATAGTTTTCTAGATGTCCAAAATGGTGGCCAGTGAGTTGTTGAGTCAGTGTTGCCAATAGTATGAATTCAAAAAACACAGTTTCAGTTTATCTTTTATGCACTATATATATATATGAATAAATATGTAAGCCTGCTAGTTGGGTTGGATATTGAATTGGAGTGGGTTAGATTAAAGGTATTATCTCAGGTTTAGGTTTGGGGGTTGTCTAGACTTAGTAAACCATTGATAAGACAATTCCCATCTTCTCAGTTGTGACTGGTCACATTGAGGGGGCAGTGATTTGACTATTTTGGTTGTAAAGCAGTCATTGAAACTAGGGTTGTTGTGGCTCTGGGCATGTTGTACAACTGGTTTGTCTTTGTATCCAGTAGATACATCTTGTCTATGGCCATTCATCCTGGTTCTGAGGCTATTGGTGGATAGGCCTACATACTGTGCCTCACATTTGTTACATTGTAGTTGGTAGATAATGTTCTTCGTTTCACAAGTGTTGAAGCCTCGGATGTTGTAGTTTTCTTTGGTTGTGGAACTGGAAAATGTTTGGCTGGGTTGATTTATTTCACATGTTTTACATCTCTTGTTATCACAGGGATATGAACCGTTAGGGCGTGCGTTGTTTGGGTTGTTGTTGGCCGGGTCAGGAACTTTTGGGTGGACTAGTATTTTTCGGAGATTGGGTGGTAGTGGTAGGGAAGTTATCTTCCCTGTACACTAACATCCCCCTTACACATGGACTTGCGGCTATAGAATTTTTTCTGGATCAACGCCCCAAAAACACTAAGCCCTCAACTTCTTTCCTACTGAACATGGTTAAGTTCATTCTAGAAAAAAAACAATTTTCAATTTGAAGGTAGAAACTACTTACAAACTAAAGGCACTGCCATGGGTACGAGGATGGCCCCATCCTACGCAAATCTGTTCATGGGGAAACTCGAAAAATGTTTCCTACAATCCCAAAAAGTACAACCTTTGTGTTGGTTCCGGTTTATAGACGATATTTTTATCTTGTGGACCTCAGGCTCAGACTCCTTAAAACAGTTTATTGACAGCCTTAACAGTTTCAGTTCCCTTAAATTCACCAGCAACATCTCAACATCAACAATAGTTTTCCTGGACCTAGAAATAAATATTCAAGATGGACTCATACAAACCGGTGTACACTTCAAGCCTACCAACCATCTACAATATTTACATTTTAACAGCAACCACCCAAAGAACACCAAAAGATCCATCCCGTTCAGTCAAGCCATCAGGGGCAAAAGGATCTGCAGCAACGATGATGAATACTACAACTACCACCCAATCTCCGAAAAATACTAGTCCACCCAAAAGTTCCTGACCCGGCCAACAACAACCCAAACAACGCACGCCCTAACGGTTCATATCCCTGTGATAACAAGAGATGTAAAACATGTGAAATAAATCAACCCAGCCAAACATTTTCCAGTTCCACAACCAAAGAAAACTACAACATCCGAGGCTTCAACACTTGTGAAACGAAGAACATTATCTACCAACTACAATGTAACAAATGTGAGGCACAGTATGTAGGCCTATCCACCAATAGCCTCAGAACCAGGATGAATGGCCATAGACAAGATGTATCTACTGGATACAAAGACAAACCAGTTGTACAACATGCCCAGAGCCACAACAACCCTAGTTTCAATGACTGCTTTACAACCAAAATAGTCAAATCACTGCCCCCTCAATGTAACCAGTCACAACTGAGAAGATGGGAATTGTCTTATCAATGGTTTACTAAGTCTGGACAACCCCCAAACCTAAACCTGAGATAATACCTTTAATCTAACCCACTCCAATTCAATATCCAACCCAACTAGCAGGCTTACATATTTATTCATATATATATATAGTGCATAAAAGATAAACTGAAACTGTGTTTTTTGAATTCATACTATTGGCAACACTGACTCAACAACTCACTGGCCACCATTTTGGACATCTAGAAAACTATCTCTTCCTCTTCCTTAGTTGAAAATGCTGTCAGTGACAGTGAAATATTCTAATGTTTTGTGTATATAGTGTAAAGTTTTGTTTTGTGTTTCCTGTGCCAGTTTGGACTCTTTCCCATTCAGGTAAGCCTGCTATCCTCTCAAAAAATCCTAAAAAATCTAGGCCCTTGTGCTCTATGCTACACCCTTAATTTTTATTCAATTTGTTTTGATATTCTTTAAATGCGTTTAGAAAGTCAAAAAGCTAAAAGTCTTTTATTGGTTTCTCAATTAGTAAAATTTAACTCGTTAATTTCTTTCACCTATTTTTTACCGGTATGATATTGTATTATTCGTTAGGTACAACATTTATTAACAAATGAAGTTTTCTTGAAGCTAATAGATGTAAGTTTTTTGTTTGTTTGTTTTTTTATTTTAAAGTGAAATATTGGGTTTCTTGGTCAGTTTTATATCCTTTCCTTTGTCTATTTATCAAAGCCGGACACAGATTTTCCAAGGGATGCAGAACTTCTTATGTGTCCTCTAAACTTTTCTTGACTTTATAGCCAGCATGAAGAATACAATTTCACCCCTTTTTTTTATCAGTAGAACCTCAATAACAAGTGTCTCATGGAGATTAAAGATTGTTACAAGGTTGACTTCTTATCGAGGTTCTGCTGTAGTAATATTTTGTCAGTATAAACTTGCACTCTGTCCATCAATATCTATTATACAGGGTTAGTAAAAAGTGTGGAGACCCCCTGTTATTTTTTTAATGTCCCATACTAGAAAAACTAAACTCGGCACACCTTTATGGCATGTTATGAAGTACTTTTTGGGCATAACCGCCACTTGGTGTACATCCCCAAAATGGGGGATTTTGGGGGAAACTCAAAAATTTCAAATAGAAAGACCAATCGAGTGATGGCAGCCAATTGAAATTCTCAGAAGTTAAATTTAACTTACAGCTTACCAAGTCTGGAGACCCCCAGTAAATTTTGTAACGGCTCACACTAGGAAAACTAAACTCTACACACCTTTTTGGCATGTTATGAAGTACTTTTTAAGCCTAATAGCCACTTGGTTCCCAAACCCAAAATGGGGGATTTTGGGGGAAATTCAAAAATTGTAAATGTTAAGCCCCATCGAGTGAATGTTAATTCCCATCATTTTGAAGGCCATAATAAAAGAAAACTAACAACGCAAACTAGAGGCCTCTATCTTAACACAGTAAAATATGGCATCCAATTGAATATAAAATTGCAAGTTATTTCTGATTTCTAAAGATTTCAATCAGCTTCCATGATTTACTGGATTGAGATAGAAACCTCTAGTTTGCGTTGTTAGTTTTCTTTTACCAGGACCTTCAAAATGAGGGGTCACTCGATGGGGCTTATCATAAAAATTTTTGAGTTTCCCCCATTTTGGGTTTGGGAACCAAGTGGCTATTAGGCTTAAAAAGTACTTCATAACATGCCAAAAAGGTGTGTAGAGTTTAGTTGTCCTAGTGTGAGCCGTTACAAAATTTACAGGGGGTCTCCAGACTTGGAAAGCTGCAAGTTAAATTTAACTTCTGAGAATTTCAATTGGCTGAAATTTTTTACTTTATTGAGATAGATACCTCTAATTTGCGTTGTTGGTTTTCTTTTATCAGGACCTTTAAAATGAGGGGTCACTCGATTGGTCTTTCTATTTGAAATTTTTTAGTTTCCCCCAAAATCCCCCATTTTGGATATGTACACCAATTGGCTGTTATGCCCAAAAAGTGCTTCATAACATGCCATAAAGGTGTGCCGAGTTTAGTTTTTCTAGTATGGGCCGTTAAAAAAATAACAGGGGGTCTCCACACTTTTTACCAACCCTGTATATGTTATAATAGGTAATACAAACAACAACACTTTCGACACAAAAATATTTACTATGAGGCCTATAACAGCTCCTGATAAAAATTATTGTAACTTTTGTCTTTTTACCCTTCTATTATCTTTCTATTGCTTCAAATGTCAAGCTAATTTTCAATTTGACAATCTTTTCCTAACGGTTTTTCGAACGGTTCGCTAGCTACACTTGAGTCAAAATGAACAATTCAAACAAGGCCTACCTATTTATTTATTTTTTACTCAATACCTATTTACAATTTTAACTTAAAATCTAACTTCTTTTTTGTTTATGAAGAATATGATTTAACAAAAGTGTTAGGGCTTCCATAAATATTCTTTCTAAATAAAATCTTGCTGTATTTTATCAGCGATATTGGTCTACAATGACATTTTTTATACACAGCCACATGTGCATGACCTATGTTGGTAATGAGTTTATAAAACTAGAAGACAGACTTAATCCGTGCTTTGCGACGGCAGAATACATGAAGATAATGTGGTTCTTTAAAGCCACTGTTTCTTTTAATTTCTCTTTAGATTAATTAAATCAACTAAATTTATAACTTAATTTTTTTAACTAAGTAAATGTAAGCTATGCAAATATCAAAACTGAGGATTTTCTGTTTGTTTCCATTGAGAACAAATAAACATCTATAATATGGTATTCTAAAAGTCGCGTCATAAGTGAAAAATATCACATAAGACCCCCGATCAGAGGACGATCAATAGTGTCCATGGTAATCATCAACATATTAGTCTTGTCCTTAAATTAAGGTCTCAGTGCACTGTTGCAGCCAAGCGAGATAGATCAAAACAAAGACCACAGAGCTATTTTTTGAGTGGTGCGGGGCCCAGTGTAAACATTCAGAGCATACCCTGACTACCAAAAAGTAGCATCACGATCTTAAGGTCTACTTAATGTAAGCTTGCTGGGGCTTGCTTGGATGCATCAGGAGCTCACAGGACCCTCATTTACAGGCAACCCTTTTACATTTACACACTCTACAGGCAATTATCAACAAATTTAAACTTTTATTTATGATTAAACACTGTCCAACATCTGCTAACAAAATATTTTCATTGTTAATTTACTTTTGCAGGCTTTTTCCCTCCCTACTGAAGTAGGGTCGGACCACATTCGTCTAGCAACAGCAACGGTGGTTAAATCATTTTCTATCATCACTTAACAAATTGTTAAATATTATATAAAACAAAATAAGTTGCTGTTAAAAGAGTCAATGCTGTCAGACTGACAAACCTAAATATTCCAAATGCTCTGGACAAAAAAATATACAATATATATAATTTATGATTATGAAGGTTGAAAATTAACCTTTGCAACACTATTTGGATAGCTGTTTTATCCATCTATATGTTCTCACATTATGTTTACAAAAAAAAAATCAAATAACATAAAAAAAGGTAAAAAAAAATGGTTCTATAACTGTTAATTGTTTATAAACAGAATCTGTTTAATATTAGGCTTCCGATTGTTTAATTAAATTATATTATTAAGATTTTACCCTGGGAATTGCCTGAATGATATTCATGGTACATACGTTGTTTTATTAAAATAAACTTGTTTAATAAAATTCTTGTATGTTTTTGTGAACATTTGCAGTTTTCTAATGTTCTCTCTGTTAGAATAGAACAATACTTTGTGTGATGTAATCCTTGATAAAAATAAGCTACTGTTAATATTGACCCTTTGAATGATGTGTTATGCAAAACCATTATTTTCATACTTGTAAATTTGTGCTGCCCCTTCTTGAATAAAAAAAAAAATCTTTGCCCCAATATTGGGAAAAATTTTGTTGACGTGTATTTTAATAGGAAATGCAGGGATAATATATAAATAAGTAGCTTGTTTTTATTGAAACACCAAAATTATGCTCAATACGCAATTCATCAAATCTGCAAAATGCATAAAATAGTTGTGTGCATTTCATTTAATAATTATTTAATGCAACAATGTAAGCCATCATAAGGTTATCCTTGTTCTTCATATTCAAGATAAGTTTGTTTTTTCTGTTTATTCCTTGCGATTATTGCTCTAGTTCATCTCACTCAAATGTACAAAATTTTTTGTTATTTTTTTATTCTGAGTTGCATTGTGAAAACACATGGAATATTTAAAATATCTTCACATTGAACATTTCCTCATTTTGTTCCTAGAATATATTTATTTGTTGTTTTTTTTATTTGATGTTTTTTTTTTATTATGGAACAAAAATGTTGTTTTTGTCTGTATATGTTGACTATTATAAGTTAAGGTTTAATAGTTGTTCAAGCTGTAATTTTTTGTTACCAAAATTCAAAAATGAAGTTTTTTTGGAAGTGGTATAATTTTGGTTTGATTTTGTAATTTTACCATCTAAGAACTTATTCTTAAAGGAACCAACCATTTTTATAATGTGATTGTGTACATTAAAAAGATTCTGTAATATGGTTTATTATAATATCTCCCTGTTCCCCTTGTTTTGATCTGATTGTTTATTCTGATTTGTTCCTTTTCAGGAAAACTATCTTTAATCATGCCTTTGCTCCTCCGCTACTACTTTCTACGACCTACGTTATATTACAATCATAAAGACTTCATCATTTATAGCGATAAGTGTTAATACATTGTATTTGCAGAATTTTAGGTTTAATAATGCAATATCAAACCCTCTGAAGTTGACTATCATTTGGGCATGATGCCAGGAAACTTTGGGCTAATCCCTGATTCTCAAACTTTCAGCAAAATTCCTTATTCTCAAACTTTCAGCAAAATTCATCACTTCCAAAATCACTTTTGGATTCAGTGGGATCCATAAGTCGGACTTGAACATTTAGACAAAAACTTTTACCATATTGCATAATAGTGATGGACGAGACTAGATTTTTTACTTCGAGACGAGATTTTTTAATTCCGGCGGGACAGGATTTTTTTTGGGTCGAGATTCAATGAAAAGTTATAAAAAAAATTATTATCTACTTTTTAAGTTCAGAAATATTTTACAAGTTTTAAAAACTTGAAAAAATAGACAAAAATATTTAAAATCTTTTATTAAAAAACATTGATAAAAAAAACACCAGCATTTAAAAAAATATTAATAAGGCCTAACTTATTAAAAATGATTCTTCGGCATAGGAAACACGGATATAACAGTTAGTATATAGTTCAACTTTGAAAAATATCAAAAACAACAGTATAACTAACTAGTTAAGTAGGCCTATCAAGTAACAATTTTTAAAGTCTTGTGTTATTTTTAGAATGATTTTGGAGTTGCTATTTTGGCTATGTTTACACTCATAACATGTTTCACGCTGCTTGCACTAACAAAACTTCTCATTTGCTATGTCAAAGAAATTATAAAACAATTGAAGCAATATTTCAATGTAAAGAATAAATAATTAATTAGTTTTAAAAAAATTAAAAAAAAAAATTTATCTTGTCTTGAAAATATCCCGTTAGTATTTCAATCCCGCCCGAAGCTTCGAGATAAAAAATCTCGAAGTTTTGGGTCTTGTCCATCACTATTGCATAGGACTACCATGTATAGGAGGATAGTAGTAAACAGTTTCAGCATTCTGACAGATATTTGCTCCCGACCCTTCCTTATAAGCGGTAGGGATGACTATGATATTTTATGGGAAAAACACAAAGTTGCAACAACTTTTGAGCCAGAATTTTCACATATTTGTGAATTGTACCACTTTGTTTAAAATTAAAAGTACCATAACATAAACATATACTAAGTTTTAACCAACCGTTCAAGGGGTTTTTGTGAAAATTAGATGTTTCTGTTATTTTATCTGGGGATCACCATTTAAAATCAATATTAAAAACTCCTGGAAGTACCATGTACGTAGTACCATTGAGTACGAGTTGCCCATATATCCATCTTTTTTCAAAATGGCCTAAGAGTGTTTTCTGTAGCTTTGTACACATCCACACTCACACACATAAAGACATCACTTTGTTGAGTTCATAGGGGGGACCCAAAATTCAAACAAAAGATTTTGACGAAAATAACACTTAAGTATAGGAGAAGAAAGTAATTAAATAAACTGGATGTTTGATCGTGCTGGCAAGTCATAATACTGTAAAAGCATGTGCCAGTGGCATGTATGGTACACAGCTCACGCTCACTATCAGCAGGAGCCACGAGCCAGACACTTATCTCTCAGAGGTTCAGCTGTCCGTGGCTTGATGTTTACATTAATTAATTACCATCACACTTTCACCTTGTGATACTCTTGTTTACTCTTCACTTGCATACTTTTTGGGCAAAAAATATAATTGATTCATCCAATGAGTGCCTGGGTTAAAAAGTGTTGTACTGGACACAATCTGGCTAAATTCTTATTTTAAAACAGCAAACTATTTTAAAGGTAAATACAAAAATTGGAATAACTCTTTTTTGGTTAGAATAACTTTTTAACTGTATTTTTTTACAGAAATGGGACTTTAAGCATTTTGTTCAAAATTAAAAGGAATATAACGTACTAACTTTAGTTAAAACCTGTTTTTTTTTCAAAAATCATTTTTTTTTATTTTATAGTTTGTATTATTTTGTTCAGAATTTTAAGGACTATAACATACTAAATCTCGGGCCACTTTTATAAAATCCGATTTTTTTCTGTCATTTTAAGGGGAAATCACCATTAAAAATCAAAATTATTTTTAAAACTCCTGGAGATACCATAGGTTAGTAGGCTACCTACATACCAAATTTAATCAAAATCAGACAACAGGTGTGGTCTGTAGCTCTATAGTATACACATCCACAAAACATACATAATTTTGAAAACTACTTTTTTGAGTTCCGAGGTGCCCAAAACGGATATATCTACTCAAACTCAAAAATGTTGACGAAAAAATACTTTCTCCATATACCGTAATTTAAACCGTTGGGGGTTGAGCAATTTTTTAAAGGTTAAGAAGACTATAAAATTTCAAAACCGTTCGAGCCATTTTTTTAATCCGAATTTTCCGTTACTCAAATTGGAAAACCAAAATTTCCAAAAGCCTTGGATTGATGTTTGTGTGTAATAGAAATCCTTTGAACCCAAAAAGTGTGTTTCGGAGTGATATGTGTGAGTGTGTGGCCCTACAGACTACACCTGAGGTCCGATTTTGATGAAATTTGGTATGTGGTGGGTACCTACTAATCCATAGTATCTTCTGGTGTTTTTTTTTTTCATTTTTGAAATTAATTCTAAACTAAAGTATTTAACCCTTACTAATGTGTGAAAATTGCTATTAAAAAGATAACGCAACTTTTGTGATTTTCGCCATAAAATATCACTCCCACCACCCATGATAAGGGTGTTTGATAAGCTAATAGGAGAAATGTGTGTCAGATTGCTGATAGTTTTTTTTTTTTTTCATAAGTGATACCGTACGTTCTGAGAACTGTATAAGAATTTCAGAATTATATGAACGAAGAGTCATCTTGTCGTCCAATTACAGCAAGTGTTGAGTGTTGGCTACTTAACATGATCAGCTTCTAACCGTTCTGGGCCGGTTATTGCTGGTTCAGTGGTTCACCGACCACCAAACATCGGTGCCAAGTCATAGACGACCGCGCAACGGTTGACGCCATCTTTTAATTGGGCAGAATTTCAAAAGAAAGTGTCGAATCATCGCTTGTCAACTTAACCTTGGAGTGTATGTTGGACGCAATCGATTACATGGAGTTTATAAGCGGAAGACTGCTGAAATGACAAAATAAATATCTACTAATAATGTCATACAGGGTGTTTTTTTTACTTGCTTCTTTATTTAGGCTATGTTAAAACTGCAATAGATAGAAATATGCTATTTGCGGGAATCATCTATTGACGAAGAGGCCACAATTGTTGTATTTCAACGTTATGTTCTCTTTCTCCCCCTACTCTTAACTTGAAATTGTTAAATTGCAAGGTACTCCTTTTGATATATCAAATGAGAGAGAAGGCATGAAACAAGAATGGCGCAAACTAGACTCTCTACGTCAATCCTATCAAAATCAAAAGTGATGGCAGTTCAAAATTTGTATCCCCCCCCCCTTCCTATTTTAGGAAAACACGTTTTTTTATGGCTATAGCTCAAAAACGGTAAGAGGTTGAAACTGTTCCCAAACATTTGAAAGAAATTTCATGATCAGGAATGAAATTTTCTACAAAACACTACTAGGCGTTTTCCGAAAATTGCATTCCTTCACCTTCAAAAAACGCCCTCCTAAAATTTGTAAAATAGGCAAGATCCGGGTTCGTTCATTCGCTTTTGAGTCGACACAAAGACTTGGAGAAGACCTTGGACGGCCACGCGGACGCGGTGTGGCGGCGTTGAAAACGCGATTATTCAATGAACTGGCCCATTCTGCCGAGTGCCGACCGTCTGAAAATAAACTCCTTTTTAAATTTCCACTCATGCTCCGCTATTGGATGATCCTCGTCATTTGGCCACCTCGTGGTATCTCGATGACTTTGCACAGCTTTTTAGGTGTACAAGTAATTAATCAGCAGGCTGCTGGCTTGATCGTGAGAAATCAGAAGTTTTTTTTTTCAAAACTTAACCCAGCTGTTTTGTTATCAGCTGGTCTTAATCAGTATAAATCTGTCTTTAACACTCATTATCACCCATCATTGGATTGTTTGGTGTCGTTGAAATCTAATACAATCTTTTGAAGTCAACGTGATTTTTACGTGAAGAATTCTTTTTTTTACAATCTTGTTTGTTTAATAAACCCTCATCTGGCTACGTTTTACTATTTTGTAGCGGTGGACGCTTTAAATGCGTCGTATAGAAGAAGAGAATACGAAACAGAGGGATCGTATAGAAGTGCTATAATTTTGGTTGTAATTTAAAATACCACCGTTTCAGCATAAATACTGCTGAAGAATATCCTAGACTTGATAGCCTACCTAACATTCAGATACGAAAAATTATTTCTCACTGATCTCAAAAACTGAAAAGATTTGATTTTGTAACAACTGATGAATTAATTTTATGTTGTACTGTAAGTGTAATAAGACGAGACACCATAGTAAATCGTGAGGTTTTCAATATTTGTACGTTGTTTAAATTCTGTTTTAGTTTGTACACAGAGCACATTGTGTGGTTTGGTCACACATTCTCACATTCATTACGTTGACATCGTCCTTCTCACGCTTCGCAAAGTGCTCAAGGTCGATTTTGTTTTTCCACTGACAAAAAGCATAACCGTGGTGCCTCATTGCAAATTGGCTTCTCTATTGTATACCTAGGAAAATACCAAACTCGCAAATAGCTATTATAGAGCTAGAACTAAACTGACGTGCTGGGTCTAGTCCAGAATGGAAAAGGGAAACAACGCCAAATAAAGGTGGTATTTCAAGTAAGATTATGATGATGATGATGCCAAGATTTTACATGATGTACGCTAAGT